GCTCCCAATACTTCTGTTAGTCTTAAAGGTGCCACAGGACCCTCTGTTGCTTTTTACATATTCAGACTAACACGGCTACCCCTCTGATACTAGATCAAGAGAGTGTTTCAGACCAAAAGATCACCATTACCTTACCTTTCCTTTTGTGTAATCTTCAGTTTCTTTTCCAACCGTCTATCTATTTCCTGTAAGGGATGTGAGAAACACAGTGTGAAACCTCTCTCCTTTTATAGAGAATTTACAGATTCTACTTGAGGACACTTGTAATTTCTTTAGTCTCACTTTTTCCATTACAACAATACTCTTGCTTGCTTGCATATCACACACAGAAAGACACTAATCTGAAAAATAAAAAACCCTTATGTGAAAGGGTCATGTGCATTTCACTGTATTTGTTGGTATTAGCAGTAGGAGAACAGCAAAGCATTAAAGATCATTTGGGACCCATACTAATGGCTTTTTTAAAGTTTCATGGTGATAGAATAGCAGTTCATCTAATTGGAACAGCACCTTTGATCCCAAGGATTCCCCAAGCACTTAAGCCACCACTGAAGCGTCCTCTGGGGTGAAATGTGACTGTAACAACCAGAGTAACACTAACCAGTTTCACATATTATACACTGTTGAGGAAGAGGAAAAGGAAAATAGTGCTGAGGGTCTCTGGTACAGTTACACACAGACCACTGGGGTAGCTGCTGCTCCTGGATTCAGTCATGAAGGTGGTAACTAGCAGGACTCAAGGAAGTTCCAGCCCTCAGCCAGAATACCACCTGCTCAGCTTCCTGTCCTCCGCCCATTTGCTAGCTTACAAAGCTATTACATGAACTCAACTCAACCAGAACCATAGTGAACACTTGCCCCTAAGGAGAGAGGCAGTCTGCACTGCCATCACCAGCCACAAAAAGGCATTATCAGGTCGGAAGCTATGTGGGCTACTGCCATCCATTCAGCTATATGGGGTCTGAGTAGCAATTCCCCACTATACCAAGAACAGGGAAGGGATACAAGTGCCAAGTCTTTGAAAACCCTATTTGGTTCTATAGAAATATGGTTTATTATTGGTTGTGTGGTTCTTGGGCCACCAGCAAGTTGCAATGCTACACAGAAGGTTGAGGGTGTATGCATAAATAAAGCATATCAGAAGCAGCCTACTTCTGACCACCTGCAAGAACAGAAAGAATGCCTGGGAACAGGAAGTGGAGATGCAGCTGTCTTGGCTGGGAGCTAGAAGTCACCTGTACTGGCTGGTGGTGAATCTGAGGATCAAATCAAGGTGAAGGTGCAGACAGATGAGGCAGCTCAAGTCCAAAAGAGGTTATTTCCTGCTATAGAAAAGAGCTTTAAAAAAGAGTTGTGAAAGCCAAGTGCTTAACTACCTCTCCCCAGAGTCTCAGGGTAGTAGATAACTGGAAGGATGCTTCCTCACACATCTCATTAACAACTCTTATTTGGGGTAGGATGGGAAAAGGACAGCATCTCAACCAGTTTACAAGTTGGATGCTTTTAATTTACAGTGCTATTTCAGTGACTTTGAACACTACACAGTGACCAAGCTTCAGAATCAGTCTTGTGTCCAGAACATCCAAGCCAATCCTCTCCCACAATTCCTTTAAACAGGAGTCGAATTTTATAATCCCCTGCTGGGAAACATGGAAGACTAGACTCCTTGTTACACTCAACATGCAGCTAGCAGTAGGGAACAGATGCCTGGCAGGACAGCACAGAGAAAGGGGGGTTACATGTTTCAAAGTAGCCCCATGGAAATGCAATTGGAAGCTACAGAAAAAGTGAAGGGCTTATTGTAAGCACATGAAGCTTTACAATGAGTCGGGTTGGAAAGCCTGCTTTGGTTTTTCTGACATGTCTGACTTTAGAGCATGACCGGGCTGAACCCCTTACAGAGTACTGGCTCTTGGGGAGAAAATAAAACAAAACAAAAACTGTGTTTTGGGGAACATCACTGAATAGTTTCTCATCACAGCTCCCAAATCTCTACTTGCCAAATGACACACCAAATATTTGCCTGATGTATTTATACCTAGTGGCAACTTACAGTAGCCAGTACCAATACCATTTCACAATTTTAAATAAAAGGACTAGGCAAGAGAAAAAACTAACCCATGTTTTCTCATGCAAGTACTGTCTTTAAGCTGCATCACATCACGTCTTCAATCTGTATCTTAGAAACAAGTCCTGTTCTCCAATAAGATCACTCTCTAGATATCAGAAACTTAAGGTGGGGGCACCTTTGCTTTGCATCAGCAGAGATTCATTGGCACTTTGCCAGGTGTCTAAAGGCTTCAACCAATTTGCACATGTTCCAGATAGATGAAAAAATACAAAGCCATATTATTTGCTTGAGGGTTTTGCTTCCTTGACAGGAGCAGAAATTGCTTTTCCAAATTAATCAGTAACAAGAGTCTGGGACTGTTCAGCTGTCAACACCCTGCAGTCACACAGAGGGGGCTATGGGCCACATTTTAGGACCTCATAGGCGGCTTCATGACACACAGATTAAATTCTATTTTTTATAGCAGAGAATTCAAAGTATTCTGAAATCTCATTTTGGTGATGCTGGAGGGCTCCCACCTCCACAAACTCTTATTCTCTCCCTGCCCACCCTTTACTTTCTCTATCACCATCCTCAGAGAGCTAGTGCCAGAGACTTCCCCTTTCAGTCAAGTCAATTCCAGAGTTAAAAGCCACCTCTCTTGTAAAATTATGATGGTTTTCACATCAGATTCTTTTGCACACGTAAACACCACTTCCTTGGATGCACTTAGAATGGGAGACAGTTCCTTAATGCACTCAAACTGAGTACATCAAAGCACACTAAGGAACTTTTAGGGAGCTGTAGCAGCATCCACATGGGACATTAGTGCACGTTAAATCAGTGTGCTCTAGGTTCACACTGTGGCTTGCACTATACTAACTTGCTAGGTAGGCAAACCTAACGTCACAATTCCTCTTAACTTTCTTCTGACCAAACCTCTAATTACAATCATATTAACACCTGCAAGTTGCTCCTGACAATTTCTTTCATTTCCTTGGCTAGAACAGCCTCACAATCAGAGCAGAGTTGACATGAAGCAATATCCTGGTCATGCCACAAATCACTAATTAGTATTACTGGGTACTCTTCCAAGAGGAGATACTTCCTGTAATTGGAATAGGGTGAAGATGGGAACATTTTGTGATCACACATGATCCAATATTGGTGTCACATACTAGATCCAGCCCACTCAGTGTTCTCCCTTATAGCCCATGTCAGCAGCGACCTCACACATCTTATCCTTCTTGTGCCACCTAAGTCCTCAGTCAGTTTAGTCACATGAATCCAAGTGGGAGCAATTTTTGTGTGTGGGGAAGATACCACATGAAAATTAGGAAACAATACTGCATCTCAACAATCTTCCCACTGGACAGACAAGACCCCCATTTCAAAATAATCTATCAGTTTTATCAGAATGCCCTTCCAGACTCTAAGAAGGCTGGGTAATCCACTAAGGACGACACTGCAAAGGGGATGACTGTATTGGAGGAAAAGTGCACACACATCTATGGTCCAGCTGAGCGCTCTGGATTTTCAGCAACTGATTAGTCATGCTTAGTCAACATGGCACGCCTAGTCATTTAACAAGCCCCTATGATTTGGAGGCATAGCTGTTGCTCTAACTCAGATTTGAAATGGTTGGTCACAGAAGTCACACGCCAAATGTCTTAATGAAATAGACTAAGAATCCAAAGTGTCCTCCCAAACAACTGGCATCGTAGCCTATCAAAAAGTCAGTCAGTGGACTCTATACATTTGTACTCTGCTTAAGTGGTTCTACCATATATTTGCATTATATCAAGATTTAGTACAACAGAACTGATACTAGAGATGAACATAGTCAAAGAACCTATATAGAGCTGCTCTCTCCCACCATCCCTCCTATTTCTGTGTTCTATTTCTTTCCTTCTCATGACTCCTTGCAGTGCAATTCCTTGGTCAATGTCAGGACCCCTCACTGGTCCACTTCTAAAGCATGATATGGCCACATAGAATCAGCTTTTCCCTACTGTTACCACCCTCACACCCTCTTCCTCTCCTTGCACCCATGATCCAAATAATCCTCACCACCACCTGTGTTGGGGTTCTAACTCCAGTCAGACACCCACTATGAACAGCAACAGACAAGTCAGAGCTTCCAATTACCTTTAGAACTCCAGTGGCTAGTACACCACCAAGGGGGTTTACCAAGACATTTTGTAATTCATGTGTATTTATGCAGATATTGACCATATGTTTTCTCTTGAAACAAACAATATTACCTCACACTCTTGACCTCTATTGGAGATTGTTTTTTTATTAGGTGTTGCTATATTTTGCACTCATGGTAAAGAAAATTCAAGTTAGTTTGCAGAATGTTACCTATTCAAATTATGTTGCCAACTTACTGGACAGTGTCCCTTAACTGGTCAGCCAAAAAATTCAGGACATTAGTGACCTCTCTTCCACATCTAGCAGTCCATAACATTGCATGCATTTAGGGCTTGAAAAGTCGATGCACCTCACAAACTTTGGTCTCAATACTTGGAAACTGAAGATCACTTTAGGGGCTCTCAGCAGATCTGTTTTTGTAGGTTGATCCTCAACCAACTTCAACTACTATCCTCACATGCGGCACTGTGTCACTGAGCCACGCAGATAACATGTTAAAATTAGGGTCTGATTTATGGCTCTTGGGTGCCAGAAGCACTACAGCAACTGGAAGGCACATGCTTACATGAGACAATCAGACTTACTATTAGAAAAATCTCATGCAGCACACACACTCATTAGTTGGGTTGGTCACACTGCACGAGAGCTCTGTTAATCTTTTGAGATTATTGGATTCCATTATGGAAGGATACCTCCTCTTCACGATTTCCTATATACCAGGTTTACATTAACAATAGCTAAGGAAGTCCATTTTACATTCCCCTTTTCCCCCTGCAAAGGGATCCATGAACAGATTACTAAATTTAGTAAAGAATTCCTATTATGCGGTTTTTGTCTCAGTCACTTTTTAAGACTCAAGAGAATGCAACAGAAAGCACCGTGTTTTGCATATCCTTTGATATTAAAAGCCTGTTGTGGACAGGGGCTAACAGAAGCTATATATTTATCAAAGTAGGTCTTTAATATCAAAATCTCCATCCATCTGCATTAGAGACAAATGCTACAAATATCAAGACCTATTGAAAAGTAATCTGTCACATCCACCAAGAAGGAATAATTCAGAACAAAAGAAATCTACCACAATCACCATCTACAGTCACTTATCTTGGTTGAGAATTCCACTAATAGAGGACTAGTGTTCTGCAGCATGCATTAGAACATGTAGATGAACGGCGTCCATCTCCAAGGCAACCCAGAGATGCACATTCCAGGCATCTTTTGGTTGGAGTCTGCATCCACAGTTCAGTACAGAGCTAGACGCCACACCGGGTAAGCACAGTTCTCCAATTTGTGGTGAAGTGGTGGAAAGGGAGAAGAGCAAGAATTAATATATCCAGAATAGCTTAATTTGAGGTTGAATCCCCACCTAGTTCTCCTGTTCCCAAGAGACTAAAATAGTGAGTGAAGGAAATTTCCTGAAGTTCCCCAGTGGCAGAATTTCTGGAAATGTTCAAATAGTGGTAATTTGCCTTATTTCTGAAGATTTTTCTACACATGTACACTTCAGATGTACTGTTATTTCTCCTATGTCTCCTGCATAGGGTATATGGTTTTTAATGTTAAACTTAGTGCTTCATCAAATAGAGGAGTCTCATTTATGTCTGAAATAAAACAGAAAGTTCATACCCAAGGTTACTGGAACTGAAAGTTAGCAAACAATTATCTATTTTTTCCAGTTAGTTTACTTTGTGAATTGCGTATTACTGTTGTACTATTTCTCCTGCATAGTTAACGTCTCCCTTGCTGAGAATGAGCAAGGGACCAGAAAAATCCAGGCAATATTCTCCTAAAACTATTAACTTTCTGAAAAAGAAATTTTTTTTTAAGTTGCTCTTTAAGAATGAGCTTGGACAGCATTTTTCGTCACTTTAAGGAACAGTAAGGGAAGAAGTCTAGTGAACTGAAAACACAAGATTGGAGTTATTTTGTGGAAAAATCAAGATAAAATGCCAAACTTCCATATTGGTGGAGCAGGCTGTAATGGTCACCAAGGAGAGAAGTATTATATCACCTTAAAACACTGGAACATTTTGAAGTTATGATTCTGAACAGTAGCCATGCCCCTTTCTGCGCTTTGTACAAATTACTGCTGAACACAAAAAACTCCCCAAATCCTGCTCACTTTACTCACTTGAGTAATCCCATTTGAGCGTGAATAAACTGAGTGGGATTGGGCTTTAGGCGTTGACTCCTTCAGCAGTGATGTTAAACAGGGTCCTTTCTACTTATTTTTAAGGATGCAGTTAAAGCTCCTATGGCATTTTATGAAGAGTAGGGGGATAACTCGGAGGATCTGGCTAGTATTCCCTTATTTAGGGAGAACAGGTTTTAAAATGTTCAAGGTTGCATGAGCCATTACTGAGTGCATAATGCAGCCATTCAAGCACCAATATCCAACGCATTGCTTCATAAGGTGCTTTGGGATATCCTGGAGTATGAATGGCATTACATATGATTAATTCTAAGAGACGTCTAGTTTGTTTCCCCATTAATTTCTGAATTAAACAAACATTTCTGAGAACACTGATTCCTAAGGCTGTTGGGAATTAGACAGTTCCATTAATTAATTCTCTAGGTTACTCCCATTAAATCTTGGCTGTATTTTGTAGTCAGTGCAAGGTTCACAGTCAAGACCACTTTCAGCTTCACTGGGGCTTAGGTTTTCTGAAGGTAGCCAATTCTTAGCAGCAGCCTGTGCAGTTAGACAACTGGGAAACAGGAAGTGCCACAGTTGTTCTGCAAGACTACGTTAAATCCTAAGCAGTGACTTAGAAACGTGTGTTCTGTGGCTTCAGAACAGCTAAGAATTTTGACGGGATATAAAAGCCTTTACATGGTATTTCACAAATTCCTTTGTAATCCTTGAAATCAAAACTCATCCGTGTACCTCATACATTTTAAACCTCATCAACAGCCTCAGATGTAAACCTTACACTGAAGCCATATTTGTATGATTCTTTGTTCCCACATTAACATCCCATTGTGTTCCACCAATTTCAACGGATAATTCTTTAATGACAAGAGGACAATGCAGATTGACAGTTACAGGGTCAGACTCCACAGCTCTTTAACATTTCCCCTTAGCTGTTGTGCTTTGATCACATTTCAGGTCAATTAGAGTTTACTGCAACAGGCTGGGAAAGATCCTAAATTAAACTCCATATTAATATAGGGAGGCAGCATGATTTAATGGCTGAAGCAAGGAATTGGGAGTCAGAAGAGTTGAGCTCTGACTGCCACTTATATGCCTCTGCTAACCTATTTCACAGTCCTATGAGAACCACGAGTGAAAGGTACAATATATAGCAAATGCAAAAAAAAGTGCAGATCAGAAGTACAATCAGTACTCTGCTCAATCGCTCTTATGTATCCCCTGGCTGCTAAGAATTAGAAAAACTAAACTGTCTGCTCCCCATGGTGCGCCATGTAGCAAGATGCATCCTAGCCAAGTGGCCACAGTTCAAAGTCAACTGAAACTTAGACTCTGAACCGGGCTCAGTTTTAAGCCTTCACAAAGAGTCATTAGAATTCATCTTTTAGCACTACTCGTCAGTAGAAGCCACAGCACCATCAGCTGACCAGTACTACTACGATAGGAAATGGCTGAGCAAATCTGAATGTATCCCTCCCACTGTTTCCCGAAGAGATGTTACCAATAAGTCAGCTTATTACGTTGCTAAATTTGAAGCCAGAGTTTGAGAACAGAAACAAGTTTCCAAAGAACAAAAACAAAACAAAAAAACTATGCTTAGGTTACTATCAGTTTCTTTGCAGGTAATAGTGAGATAACACCTTTGGAAAAGTGCAGCCCGGCAGTACTGGAAGTGGCGGTTGGTAAGACTTACCGAAAGGATTACATTCATGTTTCTGTCTTCTACATGAAGATTCAACAGCTACGGTTTTTTAAAAGGACAAATTGGAATCAGTCGCTTCACTACAGGTCTGTACCAACTAATTGGAATTTGGCTGACAGTACAGAGTCAGTTTTACGTAAGGATCGGAATTACATCAACTGCTAAAGTTGTGAAGAATATTATTGTCGCTAATATCTCCGTTTATGAACGGAAACACTCATGCCAACTCCTTCGATCCCATAAGCAATGGCAGCTTTTCCTTCCTACCAAGTTCAAGTAATGGTGGTGTGTTCTAATAGAAGATGCTAAATTGTATGTCTGGTATACCATGTTATCATAATTAAATTTTATGCATGGATTATTTTTATAGACACGCAGGCTTTCCTTCTGCCCTGTACTTTTAAACACCTACATTGTACTGAAGAGCAAAAAATAAAAGGTTAAATTCCATACAGTATCTGTCAGAGTATTTGGCTCATGAACTCTGAAGCTGGAGGAACACATTTGTTGCTGTTCTGGTCTTCAAAAGAAGACAGCCAAAGAGATCATTAGGATTTTATAAATAACTATTAGTCAGAACCAATTTACAGCTGCAGTTACCTTCACTCAGACTAGTAAACGACCAGTATACTCTGGAAGACTTCTAGCTGCGTGAAAACAAGCTAACACTGTATCAATACAAACCTATTCCTGTCTTGAGGCACTGATATAGTGCCTAATTCACAAAATACCATTGATAAACAGTTGATCAAACCAACATAAAGCAGGCAAATTAGAGCTCAGGCTGACATACCATTGGCTCCAAATGACCCCTTTTCTCCACACTCCCCGCACACTTATAAGGCGGACATTCTAGCCTTGAAGTGAAGTCTCCAGCTTGAAGTCTACTCAGTTTCAAAAAATAGATTAAAAATGGTTCTGGGTGCTACACCTACCTTTAGGCCTGCAGCCAATTTGTTGTTGTTTTACAATTACTTTTAAAAAAATGTTACTCCCTATAGGTGTACAGAGGGACGCACACAAAACAGAAAACTTAAGTTATATTAGTGGCTAGGATGCTAGGCTTGGACTTAGGGGAAGATGTGTGTTTGATTCCCTGCTCTGCCACAGACCAGGCATGGCTCAGTTTCCCCATCTGTAAAATGGGAATAAGCAGTATTTTCCCTACCTCATGGGTGTGTTGTGAGGATAAGTACATTAATGATTGTGATTGTTCAGATACTACAGGAAAGGGGGCCTTAGACAAATGCACAAAGTAAACCAACGGAAAAAACATTTGTTTCCTCTAGTCGCTCTGTTATAGTCATCGCAGGTGTTACTTGCAACAAAATTCAGAAGTCAGATTTAAATTGATATTTCTTAATTCTCTGTTTCTTGATTTTTATTAGTTTAAAGGTGACCAGCAAAGAAAGGAGTTGGATTTATGCCTGATTTGCTTAAAAGGTTTTTTGTTTTATGGTTTTTTTTGTTTTAACTTTTTCTGTTTTCTTTTACGTAAGAAATTAAAGTCTTGTCTGCCCTGGAAAACTCTGGGTATATTTACACTGCAATTAGCAGTGTGATTGCAGCACATGTAGACACACCCAAGCAAGCTTTACCTAGCTCAGGTACCAATACCATGAAGCCACAGCAGCATGGGCTAGCCACCTGAGCATGTGCCCAGGTTCCCTGGCAGGCTTGTACTAGGGCAGCTTCATTGTTGTTGGTGCCCAAGATTAAAGCTATTTTGGGTATGTCTACACACTGCGGTGCAGACATACCTTCTGATGACAGGACATCACAAGTATTGAGAGGGAAAGGCCATTTCCAGTCAGCGTGTTTGAAACTCTGACTCCTGGCCAATGAACAACATTTTGAAGTTTCACCAACTCATTCTTTCAGTTCAGCTGTGAGAGCACACAATACATGTTTTCAGACCTCTAATTCCTCCAGCAAAACCAGGGAAGGCCAGACTTGATATTCCTGATACCTTAGGCCTTGGCTACACTTACCGGCAAGTTCGACGGCTGGAAATCGAACTTCTGGGTTCGACTTATCGCGTCTAGTCTGGACGCGATAAGTCGAACCCA